CCGGTCCGCGGACCGGGGGTTGGGGACCACTGGACTAGAAGACCTCCAATGTCCCTTCCAACTCTGCTATTGTATTGTATATAAGGAAAAACGATTAGAGTAGTTTAAAGAACAAAAGCAAGGTAAGTCTATTTATGATCATGATAGAAACAAGGATGTTGTATAAGAACAAAAAGGTATGGGAAGATGTCACATGCACTCCTCTTTATTAAAAAGGAGTAGATGCAATGCATCCATCTGAAGAACCCCAAGCAATGCAGGAATCAGGCATCTAGGCAATCTCATTGAGGGATAGCACTGGAGGAGAGATTAAGCATTCATTTTCATAATCACTGCAGGAGAACTAATAAGGAAATTTTGTAACAAAATATATTCTTTATGTACTCAAGAAACATGTTAATCTGTTGTGGCCTTAAATTAGCTATTTTTTAAAAAAACTTGAGAAAGATATCTCAAATTCTTGCCATAAGATTTACTGCAGTGGTGGTGGTGGTGGGTGTGTATGTGTGCGTGTGTGTGTTCCCTTCCAGCATACAATGTTTTGAAGTATCAATAAAAGTGAACTATATGAGGACTGATTATTCACAGAAACATGTTACTGAAGCTAAGCAAGAGAACCAGTTAACTACAATGCAATTCTAGTAAGTATATTTAGTATCTTGATAACTGTGTTCCTTGTCAACAGTGGTAACATTCATTAGTTCATTAAGGTCATTCAGAATGGAATTGCTTCCTTAAAACACAGTGCTTCCCAAAGCATAGGCTATGCTTGTACAGAATGAGGTTCATGGAAGTTATACTGTAATCCAATATATCTGGAAAGTGACAAGTTGAGAAAAGTCAAAGCAAGGAGCATTATCATCTTTTCTTGGCCTTATTATGGCAGCGTATATGCTTTGTCATGCATTTTCAACCAGCTATGGGAACTTTAGTTGGATCCTAGTGGGTTTTGTTTTCATTAGAATAAAAAGAACTTTAAAATTGCAGTTAGAAGTAATTAGTAAATTAAATGCCTGGCTAAATATTTCATGTTATAAGCAAAATATAATAAAAAATATAGAAAATGGATTACCAAGAAAGGAGGATATAACTGACACAAGTTTACAAAGGTTAAACTCTTTCATCATACCCGGAGATATTTAAACAGATAGGGCAAATATCAACTCAGAGACACTGAGAAAAAGGAACAATATACAGATATAATTGCAGGAATTGACTGAAATGATAAAAACATATTGGTAAAGACTTGTGCACCTATATCTTCTTCCTGTTAGGCATTAACTGCTGATGGAGAACTTTATGACCCCTGCCCTCTTTTTTAAAGGTTGCTTTATTTTTAACTTGATTTGGCTTAAATAAAGGATCCCTTTAAATAGAGCTCTCTCTCTCATCTAAAGTAGGACACCTCCACATCCCAATGTTTAAATTGTCTTGAATATTTACCCCTATCTTTGGCCCAGAGGCATCATTACCAGAGATTTCGATGGTTTTATATGTCAAGGCCAGGGTCTGTTAACAAGGGGTCCTAGCTACATCCTGTATTTGTTGCTTTGACACATCAATGTTGCATGCAACAGGAATAAAAATGAGCTTTAGTAGATACACTTTTCTCTTCCAGATGCAAGAAACAGTTAGCAAGGCAGACTGCTCCACACTGCAGTAAATTGTACATGCAGAGCCTCAGGCCACTTTCCTAAAGTTATCATACCATTCATTTTACAGAACAACTCAAAGGGTTTGCAGAAGGTCAGCATGAGAGAAATGTAAAAAGGATCTTCAGGGCACCCTGTCCTGCAAAAATACAATGAGCAGAGATGAAAATGAATTGAACATAAAGAAGCTTGTGCTTTCGTCCCAGTCCTTATTACTTCAGAAACCCTGTTGAATGCATAACCCCATTATGCCAAGGGGGAAAGAAAGCCATATTCTTGTTTGCAGGTCTTGCTTGCTCGCTCACTGGTATGTAGCCATGTAAGGGGACTGCATTGTCATCCAGACAATGGGGAATCAAGAACAATCAGCTGGTGGTGAGCTGAAAATGTATTCATTTTAAAAGAGCACACAAAAGGAAAGTTTCAATCCTCCAGTGGGTCAGATTTCTATTGTACTTAGCATTTGTACCACTGGAAGTTTACTCTTAAAATGGGCTTGCTGCTTTAATAGGTGTGTGTTTGAAAGGAGGCTCATTGTATTTTTATTACATGGTTTGCTGAACAAAAATACAGCCAGTTATACTTGTTACAAGGCTTGTTCCAGCAATAGGTCCATTCCCTATTCTAATAGTATCAGGTAGTTATCACAAAAGGCAAGGGAGGGGGAAGAATTGCTCAGAACAGCAAACAATGGGAATGGGGACAATTGGCCTGGCACATGGAAAATGTCTTCCTGTAATAGGCCTTTTTTAATGTTTCTTTTTCTTGCACTGAAGGGGGGGGGGGGAGCAGAGCTCAAAGTCTTCTAATGTACCAGACAAAGGGAAAGGATGTAGCTGAGGCTGAGACTTTTCTTAACAAGATTAAAACAGAATTTGACACTTGTGTGGATAATAAAACAAGCCAAGCAGTAAAGTACTCAAGACAGCAGCATAACAGGGTTTTTTCATGTTATTAAATATTTGACATTTGTATAGCTTTGATATGTAAAAGGTTCCTATGATCAGCAATCTTTTTTGTTCATTTTGACAGAAATGCTATACCATTGTAATAATTTTTACTTTACAAATCGGACACTGAGAGTTAAATGGTAAATTCATGGGCCCATCATATGAAGCCCTAAAGCAGAGTTTAAAAATCACACTGCATGCTTAGTCAAAACTTATATACATTATAGTATAATGTAAAGTGTGAAACTAGCTAATTACTTTCTAGGCAGAGCACACAAAGCTGCTTGTACCAAGTGGAGTACTGATCCATGTAAATCCAGCTGCTGGTTGGGGTTTTTTTTAACCTTCTTTTAAAAAAATGTTTACTTTTTTGCCTTAACCGACAATTTTCACATCAGTGTTTCTAGAACAGTGTTTCTCAACCTTGGCCACTTGAAGATGTCTGGACTTCAACTCCCAGAATTCCCCAGCCAGCATTAAGAGTTGAAGTTCAGACATCTTCAAGTGACCAAGGTTGAGAAACACTGTTCTAGAAGAATTCTGTAACAAGAACCTTGAAATAGGGATGCCAGAATTGGCACATTCCTCTTACAAATTATGTGTGAGCAGTCTCAGAGCTAGGGGTGACTTATACAACTCCATCCTCTATTAAACTAAGATTTAGTTACAGGCGACTTACCTGCAACTCTATAAAATAATGCTTAATTTATAAACAAAAATAAACTGTTTCCAATCACAATCATCACCACAAATTATTTATTATTTTTACCATTCAGGGAAACAACCCTCCAAAATAATTTACTAGCAGCATGAACTTTTGTAGAATTTCTTTATTAAAGAAATATAGCTTTTTTTAAAAAAAAAAAAAGTCTAGATTCCTTCCCATGCATTAGCTCAGTGTTTCTCAACCTTGGCAACTTTCAGTTCTGTGGACTTCAACTCCCAGAATTCCCCCAGCCAGCTATGCTGGCTGGGGGATTCTGGGAGTTGAAGTCCAAAGGACTGAAAGTCGCCAAGGTTGAGAAACACTGCATTAGCTGGTATTAATGGTTCTATAGGAATTGGACTGAGAGAGGGAAGAAAAAGCCCAGCTGAGGCAGACTGCTTTTNGCATGCATGAATGTGCACATGCGCACATGCACAGCAGATACCCGAAGACCAGCTGGCTGGCAGGAGGCAGGGCATCCCAACACCGGCAGTGCAGCAAGAGGTAAGATCTTTTTCTTTCGTGAGCTTCTGTTTCATCATTTGCAGGGAAACCGAAGCTCACAAAAGAAATGCCACTGAGATCTCACCTGGGGCAACAGCACGCATGCCAGCAGAGAGGGCTCTGCATGGCACCTCTGGCACCCATGCCATAGGTTCGCCATCATGGCACTAGAGGCAGTAACAGAGAGGTGTATATTATTTTCTCACTTCATACCCTTACTGCAGTATCAAATGTTAGGTACTTAATGTAGATACCCAGACAACATATTTAAGGAAGTGCAAAACTTGTATTAGTCATACTGCAGTGGAAGGAATACTGAAGTTCCCCAAGGAAAATGAATAACATTGTACCTGGATCTGCTGCTGCAGCAAGTTGATCTTGTGTTGCTGCTGGATAAGTTGTTGTTGTTGCTTGGCAATCTACAAGTAGAAAAGATGAGGTGGAACCAAGATCCATACTAACTGAACTACATACCTTAGGGCCACAATGTTCATTTCTATAAAATAAAGGGAAGGCCACAATCCATGTGGCCAAAACAAGAACAGCTCATGTAAGCAGAACCTGAATACACAGATGCAAGTGATAACAAGTCTTGTTTGGAAAAGCAAGACACTGGTGAAGGAATACCAGGTTTCCCATTTATATTTCTCATCTATTTCTCCATCATTATTATACAATTCCAGGGATGAAATTACCATACTGAATAGCTGTAAGAAGGTGAATAAGCACATATTTGACCTATTAGTATGCAGACATACAAGTTATTGGAGTGCAATGAAATAAAATATAGTGCAGGTTACATCACAATTCAGCTTGAAAATACCAGGAAAAGACTTCCTTTAAAGGAAGTTTGATGTCTCAGCAGCATCCTAATATTAGCCTCATTCTAAACCTTAAGCTTTGTGGATTTATTTAAAACTGTGGCTTGCTTTCATCTGTTAAGAGAAGTTGTAACTAAAGCAACAGCCCTATCCATTCCCTTCACTGTTATTTCTGCACAATAAGACAGAAAAACATTTTACAAGCATTAAAAACTTGTTCAATTTACTGCATATCCCTGCAGTTTTTACTCTGAATATGCATATTTAGGATTTTATAATATCCTATTTATGTAGATTCTATACCCTGTTGCTTATTGACATACTGCAATACACATAGTTGATAATTTGTATCTCTTTAGCTTTTGCAACCAGAGGCTACACTTTATTGAATTGTGGGGAGGGGGTGGCCTTCAAGAGCTACAGAGAAGATGGGACATTAGTTTTCAGCCCTTGATTTTTTGGAGTTGTGGAGTGAAAAATTGAGTAAAGCAGGAATATTAAACTAGAAAAAAATTATGTTTCATATTATGAAAAACTTCATGTCATAAAATTATGATTTGCTACTAAAAATGAGCAATATTATCTGAGAAGATTCTAAGGCCCACAAAAATGGCCACAGGTTAACTATCCCTGATATAAATATTTGTTCTATTTCTAAACTGTTTGCCTTTTCAGGATGATTTGAGTCAGATACAGACCTATTAATTTATTTAGCTCTATCATATCCTATATAATTTGAAGTTCAAGTGCCAATCAGGAAACTTCTGAAGACAAATCTCAAAGGCTAAGAAGGATAAATATAGCCACAAAGCAGTTTATTATTACCTACCTGTTCTTGCTGTTGCCTGGCCAGCTCCATCTGTTGTTGCTGCTTTTCAAACAACATAGCGGCCATGTTTTTCTGTTCTGAATGGGCTGTCAGCAGCTGGTCCCTCAGGATGGACAGCTGGTTAATCATGACCAGCAGCTGTAATTCTTTCTCTGCCAAGCTTTCTTGGGTTCCTGGATGAAGCAAAAGAAACAGAGAAGAGATTAATAGGGAGGAGGGAAATAGTGAAATTTCATTCTGAAACATTAAGGTTGTCCTCTTAGAGGATATCCTGCAAGTATCAAAAAATCTAGGGGATTTCCTTTGTAGGACAAAGGAAAACAGGGGAGACCTGCTTTGCAAACCATAGGCCTGACATAAAAAGTCATGCAATATGCACTTTACATTTGGAAATCCAGATCCTGGAAAGCATAAGGAGGTGCTTGTGTAGATGCTACAGTTCTACAGGATCCAAACCAGTTCATTTTTTATTTTTTATTGACAGATAATTGTACTCAAAGATCCACAGAATTGTATATCAATTTGTTAAAAGATTAATTCTCACATAGTTGGGACCAATGTGGTTATGTGAATAGTTCAGTCTTTCTCATCCTGGTGCCTGGCAGATACTTTGGAATACAACTCCTAATTTCTAACTAGCATGCTGGATCAAAATGTAGGGATATGCCTGGAGAGTACAAAGTTGGGGGAAATTATATGGTCTGATAATGGGAAACCACTTCTTGGATTGAATTATGTTTTATCCTTTAAAATAAACCAAAATTCTTTTGAATTCTGATGGTATGAATTTAAAAATGTTTTGGCTTTGAATTTAGCTTAAATAAAGTTGAAAAAAGAAGGGTTTTAAATTCTAATTGGGTTAGTTTTATCTGTTCTGGGCATTAGCACATTCACATTTGAGCTAAACTCTTTGCTCACCTTTTACCTCTTTGGATTCCATAGGATTTTTCCCCAGAAGTCTCTCTTTCCATTCACTGGATAGTAACTTCTCAATGGTCGGCATCACTGTTGAAAGAAAATATGACAGCCCCAACAAGTAGGTTTTTAATTGAGAAATATAATAGGTTTTTTAATATCATAATGCATAATAACATAAATGAAGATGAGGTTGGCTGGTGGTAGATAATACTACAAGGACAGACCAAGATCATTAAAGAAATTTGCTTTAATTAAGCATCTGATTAACTGAATTAAGCATCTGAATAAAAAATTGGGACAGAACATACATTCCCCTGACTCCTGTAAATCTAGTGTTATTTAATTTATAACATTATAGTTACTTCTAAGCTAATGGAATTGAGCAAATATAATCATTTTAAAAATATTACGCATTTTTCAAGGTAGCTATATTGCAAAAATAATCATTTAAAAATTATCACACATTTTTTCAATGTAGCTATTTTCATAAGCAGCAACCAAGAATCCACTCCAAGAAGAAAAATTTATAAAGGTGCATTAGGAGCTACATTTCTCTATGGCAAGCTAGTTGTCTGTCTAATGTAACACTATACATCCTACAATGTTGCTTAATTTTGCAATTGGAGGATTTTAACTGGAGATCTCATGGGCCAGTGTTGCAATAGTTTAAAATTTTTAAAATATTAGTGCTTATCCTGAAGTCCTTCCTCACCTACAAAAGAAAGTTTCAAAATGCAAAGAACTGTGAGGGCCCCAAAAGTGTGTACATACCTGTATTAAGTTAAAGCAAAATTTTAAAAAACTCATTTTAAATTTACAGCTGACAGTATAAAGATCTGGCAAAAGACAGTGAAGAAATTTGCATTCCCATCCTGAAATCATTCACACAAAACATGTAGTGATGGGATGAGGTGAAGTCTGTGCGTGGGTCGGGGGGGGGGAGGGGAGGCTGCATGAGAAAGTGGAGCATGAACTGTGTCCAGTTTTAATAGTTTTCTTCAGCACCAGGAGCAGACCTTTTCAATCTCAGTAGGACTTAATTGACTATTCAAGATCAAGCCACCCCCAACATACTTTGCATTATAACAGGAATTGCTCACAACAATATATTCTTCTTGGGAATGTCTCCCAGCTCCCCCTCTCTTAGTATGAGGATTGCAGCTAAATTCAGAGGGAATAGGGAAGCCCGTGATTGTTGCCAGATGATGTCATTGCCTTTATAAATAAAAAAGACATTTCATTCTCACCCCTCCCACCAGCCCAGCTCCACAACACTGCCAGAGTCTGAATATCATGGGCCCCATGATACCAAAGTAAGTACTCTAGTACACAATTATGTCTCTTCCCAGCAAGTAAAAGAAGAAAGGCCCCAAAGAAAACAATCTGTAAATTGATGCATATACTTCTTGGTCTGGATGTGTGTGGGAGAAATATCATGTCTGTAGAATTTCCTTCCTACCTTCTTTTAGATTTTTATTGAAATCCAATTTTTCCTGGTGGCTAACTGCAGGCTCGAGCACAGCGTTCCTGGAATCTAATGCTTTGTCCACTGGAGGTACAGATTCCTGAAAGATAGTGAGCCACTGTCAATCACCAGCACCCTGCAGGAAATTAAAAAGGGAAGGATAACAGATATGCTTATCTTCACAGTCTTACTTTCAAGCAGGGTTTGTCCAAACAACCTCTAGAGGGTAGCGAAGGAGCTGCAGACCAGGCTGGTGACTTAGAGAGCTGATTTAACAGTTGAGGAGATCACTGAGCTTTCTCTCTTTCTCTCACCTCCCCCCTTTCTCTTCAAAATGCTTCACTTCCCTAAGTTAAAAGTGACTGGGTCCCTGTTGGGAGTGACAAGATATGCTTCATGTACACACGTGCCTGAGAGAAGGTGGCCCACCTGTGGGAGAATTAGGGGATCAACGAAGTCACCCAGTGGCAAGGGTGATTTACTGGGGCTGTTGGAGCCAGGTGATGTGCAAGGAGCCTCCCCCTGAGTCAACTTGTAATGGCTCTCCTTCTTTTCTTCTGTTTTAATGGTGCAGTTCACCATATTCCCAGCTCCATTAAGCTCCAGCTGAGGAGAGACAAGGCTCCTCATGGACATCCTGGATGACAAGGGAAACAAAATCAAAAGATTATGAAAATGTGCAGGAGAAGAAGGGGCATAAACTTCACTCACTTTAAAGAAAGACCAGGGTTCCAAATGTGAAACCAAACATAACAAGATTTCAGGCAGGCTCAGAATAAATCAGATGGCTGTTACTTCCATTGAACCTTTTTAGACATGTGTCGTTCATCAACAGAACAGGACTCCAATTTGCACAGTGCATGAATATGCTAAATTACACATCTCCTTACTAATTAAATCTATCTTCTGTCTTGCCTCCAGCATTCCTCTAACTTCTCTACAAAGCACAAGAAATTAGTAATTTGGGATCAGAAAGAATGACCGCCCAGGATTTTCATGAAGGTCCATTTAAATCTGGGTTTCCTCAGTTCTAGTGCAATACATTCATCGGTAACCTATGCAAGCTCTCACACCACAGTTGCTGCACAGATAGAAATAATAATTAGAATTTCAAATAACATAAGATAGCCTTGCATTAGGGAAGTTTGTAACAAAGTAGTCTATGTTCTCTTATATTGAATACTATCCAGACATTTAACTTTTGGGGTACATTTAGAAAGCCTCAAATATAAGGTTTCCCATTTATATCTCAATTCCAGATTCTGCTTTGTTCTGGAGACATCCTTTATAACAAGCCACATCTTCATAATAGCTATCTTATTACTAGTCCAATTTCTTAAGACAGCCATCTGGAAGAAGAGTTATATTTCTAAATGGTTCTGTACATACAAAAATATTGGGGAATCCTGCCTTAGAAGATTACACTGACTGATTTACTAAAAACAAAGTCAGAATTTGATGACAGAGTCAATTATTAAATCAGGTGCAAAATTAAATACCCCATACGTATTTTATGCAGAGCAACAGACATGCAATATTTTTCCTGCACCAAGGCAAGAAAATCTTGCTCTGTACCCCTCAGAAGCAAAGCACTATTGTGCAGCCACACAATAATTTTCTAGTTCTAGAAAGACAAAACAGCAGAAGCACAAAGGTTTAGGGGCAAAAGCAGCCATCATAACTGGCCAAGTGCCACCATCATTGCCACTTGGAGTTCTGGAAAAGCACAGGGCAGTAATTACATAACAAACAAAGCCTGTCTCAAGCTGTGAATTAATCAAACTGCTGAAAATAAAACCTTCCTCTCAGGAACTTCAGACAAAAGAAATGAAAACAACAGGGCTGGCTGGGTAATGAAAAGCCAGCACACTGAATGGGGGACAAAAGGAAGTTGAACAATAGGGTGTTGGACAAAAGCAATAAAGTAAAGGGAAGTGTGACAGCTGAACAATGAGGCACTGTGCACGCCAGAGTTTCTGATCTTAGCAGGCTTTTTTATCTCAGTTCCCTGCCCTTCTATGAACAAATCATTGTGCTTTTCAGGCTATTGGGTTTCCTTTGCCATTTGCTTTTTGGCTCCTGCAGCCATTCCGGTTAGAAGCCTATGCTTTTCCATTTTCAGTCCTGTGTGCCCCTATCCATGCTGCAGTCCACCATTGACGAAACAGATTCATCTTAGGAAGACAAAAGGCATCCATGTGTTAGGGAGGCACACAGATAAGTGACAGTAACTCACCCCCCCCCCCAAACATACGTCTAATAAGACATGCCAGCTGATTACTATAGCCTTTAGCTCTCTCTTGCTCTCTTTCTCTCTCTGGATGATAACAATATAGGTCTTTCTGCCTGTGGCATGATACTGTCAAAGGAGAGAATCTTGGTCTTTATTTGTCCCTATTGTTTTACCTTGTGTTCAGGAGACACGGCTAGGAGGATACAAGCATGCTGGATTTTCTTGATGGAAAACACTTCCAACCAGAGGATTTGTTGTTGTTGTTGTTGTTTTAATTGGTGGGTATCCAGAAGATTTAGACAGCACATCCAAATCCAAACAGCCAAATAATACAAGGAATTGCTATATGGCTTCCATGTTGATCCCACAACTAAATAATATTGAATATGTAGTTACAGTATTTTCTATGATGCATTTTGCTTGTTTTTATCTATGTCCATATGTACACTTCCCATATATAAATCTGTACAATGGAGTTTACTTCAAGTTACACAGGGGTTGAACCTGCACATGCATAATAGGAAAGAGTGCAGAGAAGAGCAACAAAGATGATTAGGGGACTGGAGACTAAAACATATGAAGAACAGTTGCAGGAACTGGGTATGTCTAGTTTAATAGAAAGAAGGACTAGGAGAGACATGATAGCATGTTCCAATTTCTNTACCTCCCAACGACCAATAAGATCTCACAGGTTGGGCCTCCTCCGGGTGCCATCGACCAGACAATGCCAGCTGGCGGCCCCTCGGGGGAGGGCCTTCTCTGTAGCTGCTCCGGCCCTATGGAACCATCTACCCGTAGAGATCCGGACCCTTCCCACTCTCTCAGCCTTCCAAAAAGCCACGAAAACCTGGCTATTCCGGCAGGCCTGGGGCTGTTGATCAAGTTCCTGCCCCACTTAAATGGAATGTTTGGTGTGTTGTTTTTTAAATTGTATCTTTTCTTTATTTTAACTTTTACTTTTATTTTTGTTTCTGTAAGCCGCCCAGAGTGCTACGGGATTCGGGCGGCATATAAATTTATTAAATTGCTAAATTGCTAATAGTGACCATTCAAACATTTTAAACTTAATTTATTAGTGTCATAGACCACTTCAAAGTAAATTAAAATATAAAGCATATTCTTCTTAAAACAGTAACAGAGCTGTGGATGCTAAATATGAATAATTAATTACACTAAATAGAATAAAACCAAAAAAAAAATAAGTACCATAATCAATTTGTCTGAATACAACAGCATCTAAAAACTTATGATAAGTTATGGCAAACACTATAGACAGCAAAGTAGTATTTAGCTACATTCGGTGAGACAGAATCAAACTAGTCAAAGAGTAATAGATGAAGATAAATTTGAATGACTAGGGCATTTGTCTAGAAGGAGAGATAATTGAAACAACACAATGGGGACAAAACAATACAACATGACCTAATGTCTCATTTATTCCGGAAACACATAAACTGCTGTAATGGCAACTCCCCTCAATGAAGGTTGTCAGGGGATTGTTAAATCCAACCAAACAGAAAACTATTCTTTCTGCCTTCATTTTCATAAAAATGTATGTACTTTACACCTGCTTTTTTTCTTTAAGCAGCTGGGGTGCGGGAACAAGAGGGAAGCTGTCACAATTCAACATTTTCAAGTGTTGAATCCAGGAAGATTTCCTTCCATTTCACACTGCATCTAGTCATGACAAGGACATGAGGCGAAAGGAAGAAATTACCATTTCCTAAAACGGAGACATCATTTAGATGAACTAATGACCCATTTAAGGGGCATCTCCATAGAGAAAATGTCAATCATTTGTTTATTGATTGTAATGTAAATGTAACACACATTCCAACTAAAATAAGAATAGGAGTGGCTCAACAGAGGTGTTTTCTTCAAAAAAATAAGTTTACTGTGGTAGCATAATATAAGACACAAAAGTCAACACAAGCCCAAATTCTCATATCATGCTACACCACAGTTGGTTGAATAAGCCACTACTTAGCAGATGACATTAAGCCAGCAGCAATAGCCAACACCCCAGAAGACAAGCTAGGATGCAAAAAGATCTTGACAAACTTGAACAATGGGCCCTCTCCAACAACATGAAATTTAATGTGGAGTAAAGCAACCTGGGCAAGAAAAAAAAGGTACAAGAAGTACACATCAGGCAAAATCTGGCTCAAAAACAGTGACTGTCAGAGGGAGCTTGAAGTCTTGGTGGGAGATCACTTAAACATAAGTCAGCAGTGTGCAGCAGCAGCCAGAAAAGCTAATACAGTCCTTGGTTGTATAAACAGAGGCATAGAATCAAAATCACATGAAGTATTAGTACCACTTTATAAAGTCTTAGTAAGACCACACCTGGTCTTACTGCATACTGCATACAGTTTTGGTCATCACATTACAAAAAAAGATGTTGAGACTTTGGGGGAAAGTGCAAAGAAGAGCAAATATGATGATTTAAAGGTCTGGACACTAAAACAGATGAAGAATGGTTGTAGGATTTGAGTTTGGCTGGTCTAGAGAAAAGAAGAACTAGGGGGGACATGATAGCAGTATTCCAATATATATGAGAGGCTGCCACAAAGAGGAGGGGGTCAAATTTATTTTCCAAAGCACAAGAGTGTAGGACAAGAAAGAATGGATAGAAACTAATCAAGGAGAAAAGCAATCTGGAATTAAGGAGAAACTTCCTAACGATGAGGACAATTAACTAATGGAACTTGCCTTGCCTTCAAATATTGTGGGTGCTTCATCACTGGAAGTTTTTAAGAAGAGACTGGACAGTTACTTGTCTGAAATCATATAGGGTCCCCTGCTTGAGAAAGGGGTTTGACTAGAAGACCTCCAAGGTCCCTTCCAGCTCTATTCTGATTTGCTCCTACAGGATGCTATACTATAACCCAGAATTTACAAAAATCAATAAATGGGCTCTCTCATTATGCTGAGCAAAACCTGGAAAAAACTCTACTTTATTTCTTAATAAAAATGTGTGAACANAAAAAAAAAAAGTCTAGATTCCTTCCCATGCATTAGCTCAGTGTTTCTCAACCTTGGCAACTTTCAGTTCTGTGGACTTCAACTCCCAGAATTCCCCCAGCCAGCTATGCTGGCTGGGGGATTCTGGGAGTTGAAGTCCAAAGGACTGAAAGTCGCCAAGGTTGAGAAACACTGCATTAGCTGGTATTAATGGTTCTATAGGAATTGGACTGAGAGAGGGAAGAAAAAGCCCAGCTGAGGCAGACTGCTTTTCTTGTCTGCTTTTTTTCTTTTTATAGTTACCAAATAACTCTGAGTGAGTGTGAGAACTCTATGAAGAAGAATCATATTTCAGCAGTACGGTCATATGTATACGTTAAAGTCATTTTATACCAATTAAGGCCACATTCAATGTTCATGTGGTTCATTTTGCTTACATTTTGGCACTGAGCATTTCAAATGACCAAAAACCTAATCATTCTGATGTGGTGGTGACAGAATGCAATTTGATGGATTCACACATTAGTCTTGAGCTAACTCTGATTCTAATGATGTACTCAATTCTAAGAAATACAACACTGGTCAATTCTTTAGTTGGGATTCTGAGTTAAACTAGAATGGCAGACAATTTGCTGCTGCTTGGCAACAGCCCTACACAAAAGAAATCCATCTATGTTTCACTGAAAGAGTACAATAATGTCTGCATCAGCCTCTCAACTTAATACCTAGCATTATTTCTTACATATCAGTGGAATTTTTCTTCTCAAAGGAGCTTGCCCTCAGAGGCAAATTTGCATATCTAGTCAGAATAATCACTGAAGGCTGAGTCAGATTATTTATTAACCTAAACTGAAATCTTTGAATGGTGCCAGACTCTCTCAGCAGTGGCTTTGCAACTTTTCTACCCCTCCACTGTTATTTCTTTGTGGCATACATCCTGCTATTCTCACTCTTGCACTGCCACCCTTCCTGGTCAAAGCCTGACTATCTCTTCTATTTATTGTGCAAGGGTGGTTCCAATGCCAGCAGCAAAAATATCCACCCTAGAACTGGCACCATGTGAAAATCTCAAGATCTGAAATCAGGAAATAACATCTTCCGTGATAAGGTGCAACTTTCAACTAGCTGTACATGACTCTAAACAAAATAAAATGATTAGGCATGAAAATCTTTGGTTCCCATTTGTATGAAATCTCACACTGACTATGGACAACGAGAGTCAAGGGGGAAAAAACCCCAGTGAATTGAAGTGTGGCATGTAGCTAGCAGATTCAAGAAATGTCAGTTTTGTTGTTTGGAAAAATAAGTTATTTCTATGTTGCAAATAGAAATTAATTAGTTTGATTCACTCATGCAAACTCATAAATGATGAGGAATTGTTAAACCTACACAAACTCATATTTACAAGGAATGAAAAATGATTTAGAGGAACAGCCAAGTTCAAAATATTGTAAGTTTTTCTTTAAAAAAAATACAAGAAATGAAGGGCAAGGGGAAGCAATCATTCACGTTACATTAGAGAAAAGGTATGTCCATTCCTAGCAAGTGGATTGGCATACTATATTATTTACCAAATTTCAAGTAAAAGGTGATGTGTTTTTTTTTTTAAAAAAAAGAGATGGAATAGCTGATGCCATTAGATGCTGATAAAGAAAGTGAGGGGTTAAAAAAAGAGAAACAGAGGAAAAAAGTTGCAGACAATCAAATGTGCCATTGAATCTTGACAGTTGGGCAAGGCCTAACTGCAGGTGTAATGCCAGTTTTACTTTGTCTTATCAGGAAATGTCCTTCAGTTTAATTGGTTTACAAATATATCTTTAACTTTATTAGATTGTTTTGTTAGAAACACTGTACCTGAACTGCAAAAATCTAGATAGCCACATCACAACAGCAGACATGTACCATTTTCTGTATTTCTTTGCTGCCATCTAGATTCTGGATTTTTTGGCTCAGATCTTATATTCTTATGCTTTTTCTAGAACAAAATAAGGAATTCTGGGCCAAATCTTTTGGACAATCTCAAGATATCACAGAACAAGCCTACAACATAATAAGAAGAACATTACAAAGCTGTTTCACTTCAATCTCAGCTACCTGCAACCTTACTTCACTTAAGAGGCTGATTCCTCAGGAAAGATGACTTAAACTAGTATATGCGTTTGCATATGCACAATACACAATTCACTATACTCTAACCTTTATAAATGATCATATCTTTACATTATGTATATATATACTTCTTGCTTAATTACATCAAACGGCAGTCATTTGTTTAAAAATGTACTTTAAAAAACATTGTTTTAAAGTAATTGTTAATACCTCACATAAAATGTAAGAAAGCAATGAGGTTTATCATCTCCTTAATACACTATTCTTAATTTATTTGCATCCCACCTTCATTTATAA